AGCCCAGGAGTTTGAGGTTGCTGTGAGCTAGGCTGATGCCAGGGTACTCCAGCCCGGGCAAGAGAGCAAGACTCTGTCTCAAAAAAAAAAAAAAGAAAGAGCAAAAGAAGTCCCCAAAATTAGGTTTCCTTAAAATTATGTTTTCTGATCACATTGTCCTTACTCTTTCTCTTTCTCTCATTGATTAGATATGACTTAAGTTCCAGTTACTCTCTGTCATCCAGCCTTTCTCAGGTTGTTCTGTTTTTATAAATGGACTCAATCCCTCATGTTTCTCCAGGCCGGGTCAGTGACTGTTCTGAACTATTCGGGATTAGGGGTGTAGTACCACCTTGGCTAAGTTAGGAAGGAGAACTAGAGTGGACAGGAAGAGAAACTCTGGACTCAGCTTGCTGGCTTTTCTCAGGTCTCCATGATGTGATCTGCTCTGGGGTTACATTTTTATTTTCTCTCCTGACTTTAGCACATGTGAGGTGAAGGGCAGGAGGTTGGTAATTTTTCACAAGCAATGGGAAGGAGAATCTTCAAGTTCTGGGTTTGAAAGCTAATAGAATGATTAACTATCAGGATCTCTCTTTCCTCTTGAATTCCCCCTCCGTAGTGTCCAGCTGACTGCAAGTTCGTTAGTGCTGTTGGCTGTGATGTTGAGTTTGAATGATGAGGAAGATTAGCAGACTCATGAGTTTCCTCTTATCTGATATTTCGTTAGAGCATGGGACTTCTTGGGCTTCCTGTGCCTTCTTCACATACCAAAGGCCAGCTGCTCAGGCTAGGAACTCTGTTCGGAGAAGGCCTGTTTTCAGCCTGCTGAGCTGTTTGGCTTCTTGATGGGAAATTTGCTCCCTCCTAGCACTTGAATATACTCCAGTGTATTCAAGTAAGCTTGCTTTAGGAAGAATTTGGACGTTCTTTTGGGTATTCTTTTTTGGAAACAGAGTCTTACTCTGTCACTCTGGCTAGAGTGCAGTGGCATCATCATAGCTCACTGCAACCTCAAATTCCTGGGCTTAAGCAATCCTCCTGCCTCAGCCTCCTGAGTAGCTGGGACTACAGATGTGCACCCCCACCACGCCCAGCTAAGTTTTCTATTTTTTGTAGAGATGGTGTCTCGCTCAGGCTGGTCTCGAACTCCTGAGTTCAAGCCATCCTCCTGCCTCGGCCTCCCAGAGTGCTAGGATTACAGGTGTGAGCCACTGTGCCTGGCCTCATTTGGGTATTCTAAGAAGGGCAACAAGCTGTGAAGCTAAGCTATAGGACTCAGCTTGTGTTCTTATCCTATAAGAGCTTTTCTTGGAGAACAAATCATTCAGTAAGCAGGAGGTAAAAGATGGGGTGAGGAGGAGGATAGATTAATGATGTGGTTTCAAGGGGAGAAGTAACCCATTGATTTCTCTGTCTTACAGATAGTGGGAGCAGAAATTGTGAACTTTGCTGACCTCCGATGTGAGGAGCTCAGTCAGGACCAAGGGTGGAGCCTGGCAAGATTTGCAGCCTGAAGCCATGGGCCAGGGGGCCATGGTGACCTGAGACTAGTGGACTCTGTCCAGTTGCCCCCTGCTTCCCCTTTTATCTCTCCTACCCTGTGCTAAGGGGACTTGTCTCCACTTCTTCAGGGAACTGCCCCTGAGGGAATCCCTTTCCCCTGTTTTCCTGTCCTTCTACCCCCCAAAACAGTAACAGCCTATAGAACTCCTACCTCCCTTCCCCTGAGGTGGCCCCCATCCCTTCCTCCCTTCCTTCCCCCGCCATGCTCCAGCTGTGGAAGGTGGTACGCCCAGCTCGGCAGCTGGAACTACATCGCCTCATATTGCTGCTGATTGCCTTCAGCCTGGGCTCCATGGGTTTCCTGGCTTACTACGTGTCTACCAGCCCCAAGGCCAAGGAACCCTTGCCCCTGCCCTTGGGAGACTGCAGCAGTGGTGGGGCAGCTGGCCCTGGCCTTGCACGGCCTCCAGTTCCACCTCGGCCCCCCAGGCCCCCAGAGACAGCTCGAACTGAACCTGTGGTACTTGTGTTTGTGGAGAGTGCATACTCACAGCTGGGGCAGGAGATCGTGGCCATCCTGGAGTCTAGTCGTTTTCGCTATAGCACTGAGCTGGCACCTGGCCGAGGGGACATGCCTACGTTGACTGATCATACCCGTGGCCGCTATGTCTTGGTTATTTATGAGAACCTGCTCAAGTACGTCAACCTGGATGCCTGGAGTCGGGAACTGCTAGACCGGTACTGTGTGGAGTATGGTGTGGGCATCATTGGCTTTTTCCGAGCCCATGAGCACAGCCTCCTGAGTGCCCAGCTCAAGGGCTTTCCCCTTTTTCTACACTCAAACTTGGGGCTCCGGGATTACCAAGTGAATCCTTCTGCCCCTCTACTGCATCTCACACGCCCCAGCCACCTGGAGCCTGGGCCACTGCCTGGTGATGACTGGACTATCTTCCAATCCAATCATAGCACGTATGAACCAGTGCTTCTTGCCAGCCTTCGGCCAGCTGAACCCCCTGTGCCAGGACCAGTGCCTCGTCGGGCCCGGCTTCCCACTGTGGTACAGGACCTGGGGCTTCATGATGGCATCCAGCGGGTGCTCTTTGGCCATGGCCTTTCCTTCTGGCTCCACAAACTTATCTTCGTCGATGCTGTTGCATACCTCACTGGCAAGCGCCTCTGCCTGGACCTTGACCGCTACATCTTGGTAGATATCGATGACATCTTTGTGGGCAAGGAAGGAACTCGCATGAAGGTGGCTGATGTTGAGGTCAGTCTTTCTTTTTCATACTTAAATTTATTTTCTTAGAAGCTGTTCAAGCTGTGGCCTGTCAGACTCCCTTCCTTGATTCTGAGTTTGTCATAGGTACACTCCTTGTCCTGCCCTTTTCAGGCAGGAAGAATGCTACTTCTCATATATTCCTCCTCAGTCTGCTCTTCCTATTTCTCATGTCGCTGTTACTCTTCCCAGGCTCTGTTGACCACCCAGAACAAACTCAGGACCTTAGTCCCTAACTTCACCTTCAACTTGGGCTTCTCGGGCAAGTTCTATCATACTGGTGAGCTTATTCCCTGTTCCTTCAGCGAATCATTCTTAGTTTGGTCTGTCCCTTCACTGTCCATCTCCCTGGGCAGATAAGTTGGAGGAAAGGTTCGAGGTTTGGGGTCAGAGTGCTGTGAGGAGCCAGTAGTGGGCATGAATTTAGGTTAGCATGGGTGGCTGGAGGGCAAGTTGGCAGTGGGGCAAATAAAAAGTCTTAGGTGGGCAGGGGTCAGTAATGTTGTCCCAAGGATGGAAGGTAGTCAGTGTTGTTACAAAACAAAGGAGGGCACAGGGGCTGACTGGCTGTGATCAGTGGTCAGTGTGTGGTCATAGGGACAGAGGAGGAGGATGCAGGGGACGACATGCTGCTGAAGCACCGCAAAGAGTTCTGGTGGTTCCCCCACATGTGGAGCCACATGCAGCCACACCTGTTCCACAATCGCTCCGTGCTGGCTGACCAGATGAGGCTCAACAAACAGTTTGCTCTGGTGAGGCCCTTGGATCTCTTCCCCATACTTTCTCCCAGAGATAAAGCTTCCTTTTCAACCTTCCCCTAATGTGATACCCTTTCCCTACCCTTTCCATTTTTCTTTCTGTGGAGACTTCCCCACCCTCTTTACCCTCTACTCCTCAAACCTCACCAGGTCCTGGTGAGAGTCTATGCCATTCCCAGGAACATGGGATTCCCACGGATCTGGGGTATGCTGTGGCTCCCCACCACTCGGGCGTGTACCCCATCCACACGCAGCTCTATGAGGCCTGGAAATCTGTGTGGGGCATCCAGGTGACCAGCACTGAGGAATATCCCCATCTCCGCCCTGCCCGCTACCGCCGTGGCTTCATTCACAATGGCATTATGGTGAGGGACTCCAGTACAAACTTGAATCAAACCCACATTTAGACAGTCTCCAACCTCCATTGACCTGTGTCCAGTCAGCTGCCAATCCAAGTTCATTCACATAATGGGGGTAGAAGGATGAAAAGTCATAATGCACATAGTGCGAGCTTTATCTCTGTAACTTCAGACTGAGTCCTCTATAAACCTAGGGAATCCCAGTGCCTCAAGACTTTTGTCCCTCATCTACTTCTCCTATCTTTTAAATCTCATCTATCCCTGTTACTTCTTTTCCCTCCAGGTGCTGCCCCGGCAGACATGTGGCCTCTTCACTCACACAATCTACTATAACGAGTATCCTGGAGGCTCTCGTGAACTAGACCGGAGCATCCGAGGTGGAGAGCTCTTTCTGACGGTGCTGCTTAATCCGGTAAGGTGCCGAGAGGAAGGGCTAGAAGTTTGGAGAGCCAAGGTGTTTGCAGGCTGGGAGCTTTACTCAACAAGGCTGATTCTGAAGTGGGGTAGGCTCTCCAGATCTGACATGCAGACACCCTCTTGCAGATCAGCATCTTTATGACCCATCTGTCCAATTATGGAAATGACCGGCTGGGCCTGTACACCTTTGAGAGCCTGGTGCGCTTCCTCCAGTGCTGGACACGGCTGCGCCTACAGACCCTTCCTCCTGTTCCTCTTGCACAAAAGTACTTTGAACTTTTCCCTCAGGAGCGAAGCCCGCTTTGGCAGGTAGGGGTGGAGAGGAGGCTTACCAGAGATGTGAAGGAAGTGGGGGGTTAAGAGAAGACTAGGCCTTATCTGATTCTTGATATCTTCAGAATCCCTGTGATGACAAGAGGCATAAAGATATCTGGTCCAAGGAGAAAACCTGTGATCGCCTCCCAAAGTTCCTCATCGTGGGACCCCAGAAGACAGGTGAATTATCCTTAGCCAACTTCTCTTGCTCTGCCTTAAACCCAAAAGGTCCTTTTGCCAAGGAACTCCCTTGTCATACCCACTCCTCATTAATCCAGTCCCTTGAGGCAGTGATTCTTAACCCTGGTTGTATTTCAGAATCATCTGTGGAGTTTTTAAAGGATCAGCAAGTGATTATGATGCACAGTTGAGGCTGAGAACCACTGTTTAAACCCTTCCCTGGGCCTCTCTCAGACTTTCCTCCTCTCATTGTAGTTTGGCCAAAGGGGATTTTACTGCCCAGAGTGGTTACTTTCTCACTTCCTTCAAACTCATGCTGTTAAGCCGGCTCCTCTCCTACAATGCCCTGGTCTTTCTCTCCCATTTAGGGACCACAGCTATTCACTTCTTCCTGAGCCTGCATCCAGCTGTGACTAGCAGCTTCCCTAGCCCCAGCACCTTTGAGGAGATTCAGTTCTTCAACGGCCCTAATTATCACAAGGGTATTGACTGGTGAGACTGACCCCTTGAATGCTTCTCAGAGGAACACTCCTTCCGTAAAAATACCCCATTCCAGCTTCCCCCAGCACACACATCTGGCCACTTTACTCAGCAAATTTCTCTGCCTCTCTGCTCTCTTCTACTTCTTAGGTACATGGACTTTTTCCCTGTCCCTTCCAATGCCAGCACTGACTTCCTATTTGAAAAAAGTGCCGCCTACTTTGACTCAGAGGTTGTACCACGGCGGGGGGCTGCCCTCTTGCCACGAGCCAAGATCATCACTGTGCTCACCAACCCTGCCGACAGGGCCTACTCCTGGTACCAGGTCTGCCTGAAGCTAGGGACATTGGGCCTTAAGGTGGAGGGGAAGTGGCGAATGCTAGAGAGACAGCAAGGAATGAAGGTAGAGAAACTAGTCTAGTGCCTTGGAAAAAAGGGTGCCTATTGCTGTCTGTCACCAGACCAAGAGTAAGGTCAGAATAATACTGTCAAGTCACCAGTCCTTTACTCTCCTACTCCTTGTCTTTCAGCACCAGCGAGCACATGGAGATCCAGTTGCTCTGAACTATACCTTCTACCAGGTGATTTCAGCCTCCTCCCAGGCCCCTCTGGCACTTCGCTCCCTGCAGAACCGTTGTCTTGTCCCTGGCTACTATTCTACCCATCTGCAGCGCTGGCTGACTTACTACCCCTCTGGACAGGTATAATCCCCCAAGATCCCTCATTGGGGTCCCCCTTCCCCTCCTCTTCCCTTCAGCCCAGAGGCTTCTTAGGAACATAGAGGGAACCACATCCCTGTCCCTTTAGTTGCTGATTGTGGATGGGCAAGAGCTGCGTACCAACCCAGCAGCCTCAATGGAGAACATCCAGAAGTTCCTGGGTATCACACCCTTTCTGAACTACACACGGACCCTCAGGTGGGAGAGCATGACCCAGGCGAGGATAACTCTGGGGGAAATGGGGAAGCAGGTTGACCATGTCTGTTTGGAAGAGATATGGATTTATTCTGTCTCACAAGGAGAGACGTGTCCCTGTGGGCTGGGAGGGGTAGTGTGCATTTATGGTGCTTGAATTTTTCTTCTCCCTGCCACCTAATGGCTTCTTCCTGTTGAGCAGGTTTGATGAAGATAAGGGATTTTGGTGCCAGGGACTTGAAGGTGGTAAGACTCGCTGTCTAGGCAGGAGCAAAGGCCGGAAGTACCCAGATATGGACACTGAGGTAAGCAGGCCTGGGCCAGGGTATCCCTCTCCACCTCTAGGATCTAATTCTGTCCCACTCCTTACCACGTCTGCCTTCATTTTCTCCCGTCAGTCCCGCCTTTTCCTTACGGATTTTTTCCGGAACCATAATTTGGAGTTGTCGAAGCTGCTGAGCCGGCTTGGACAGCCAGTGCCGTCGTGGCTTCGGGAAGAACTGCAGCATTCCAGTCTGGGCTGATGTCCCAGCCTTCTATGCCAGCAAAAAGCCCCCTGTATCCCTAAGGGGCAAGCCCAGAGCAGGGCCCACAAGGGGCTTAGGATGGCCTGGCTCCTCCCCCTTCTACCTCAGTGGCCCCCAGGCCTGAGATGGCTAAGAAGGGGGAAGGGTATCCTTTTCCCATAGTCCTGGGGCCTGATAAAGGGGCTTCCCGTGGTACCCCATTTCATGGTACTAGGCACCTTTGACCCATGATCTTGGGAGGTGGGGAGGAGCGAGAGGGTCCGGGCAGGGTGTAGAGGAATGTATTAGTCCAATGATTTCCCTGTTCATCCCCAGCAGTGTATCTGTCTATTCCTGGCTATGGGAGGGGCCCCTTAATGTGGCCCCTTTAGTCAGGTGGTGGGATCTACCTGTGGCCCGGCCTCCCTAATGTCATTCACATTGAATGGGGATGAGGTCGGACAGTGGCTCATAGAGCTGAATATGAGCCCTAGCTGTGGGCTAGAAATGTCCTTAATAAACATCCTTATTTTTCTGTTTTGTCTGCCTCACTGGAGTGGGAAAAACCTAGAATAAAGCAAATGTCAGACATTTCCTCCCCCAGTTCAAAGTTCATCCGCACATGGAGGGAAAGAAGGGAAAGGCCCAGGCAGACTAGAGTAAAAAAGGAGTTTATATATTTATAAATGCCAAATAAATACCAGAGGCTACCCAATGCCCCCTCCCAGACAGGGCTGTCTCTCCCAGCCCTAGGCTTCTAGGGTCTGAGACATCTTGGCCCCAAGCTACAGCCCAAGAGCAGCTGCCAGTCTGGGCTACCAGGGAACTGAGTGGGGATGATCTGTCCAGCCAAGATTCACTCCCCCTGTGTGAGGGGCCCCCATAGCCACAGGCCTGTGTCCCTGTATAGGGCCCTAGCAGGGAAAGACTCAGGGGGAGAAGGTGGTCATCTCGAGTGAGACCCGCTGCCACAGCTCCTTGGTCTGTTTGCTGCGCTTGAGGTTCTGTAGGATGTCGTTGAACTGCATCATGCCCATGGGCGTCAGGCAGAAGGCGCTGCGGGCACTGCGGATCGCATTCACAAAGTCGTCGTAGTCGGCAGGAGTCAGGTGAATCAAGCGATGGTGGATGTACTAGAGGAAGATGCGTGTAGGATGAGCCTTAATACAGCATGGAACGAGGCCCCGCCTCCCTCACATGCTAGGTGATCTGGTCCATGCCACCCAGGAGGTGCTCCACCCTGCTCCATACTTCTGGATTGTCACCTGCATGTACGCCTGCTGGCAGCGCTGCACCAGCTGGTGGAAGGCCGGGGCACGCAGGTGGTTGTGGGCATGAGCAGGGCTCAGCCGCTGCAGCGTCTCCATGACGATCTCCTGCAGCACAAACGGGCTCAGCACCCCCTTGGCTGCCCCCACACAGAACTGGTGCACGTAGTTCACTCCTGGGGGGCAGGGGGGAGGGGCATGAGACGGGGGTGGCCACCTCTGCCCTAGGGACCCAACTTATTTATCTCAGCTCTGGCCTGGCAGAGAGCCTCCCTCCTCCCCAGGAGCTGAGGTAGCCCTCCGCCCCCCGCGCACGCACACATACCCGACCAAGGCCTCAACTCTGAGCAAGAGCTAGGAAGGAGGTCTGGGATAGGAAGGTGGGGGGAGCAGGTGGGGGGGACAATGGTCCTGGGGAGGGGAGGTGTTACCCAGCTTTGCTGCCAGCCCCAGCAACCATTTGACATCATCAGTGTAGGGGGGGGAGCGGGAGAAGTTGTTGGGGTGATCGTTGTGTGCCCGGCGACCCAGCATCTCCAGTGCCAGCATTCCTGGGAGGTAACGGTGCACACATGGAGGGGTGCATCCTCTTTACCCTCTACCCCAACCTGGTACCTGACCCCACAGTAAACAGATTAAGAGCTAGTGGAGGGAGTCCTCTGAAGAGCCTCTGGCACAACTGCAGGTGGGAACACAGAAAGGGACCTCCTCTCACCGACACGGTAGGCAGCGTGCAGGTGATGCAGGCTGTGCGGATTGACAGGTTGACTGTGCGTCTCCTCCTCGGGTGGCGGGAAACCCCCGCTCACCAGGGGGCTGGGCTGTGTGGTCAGGGCAGGCAGTGAGGCACCCTGGATGGCTGGAAATGTGGATGCTGGATGGACGCTGCTCACTGAGGGTGGGATGGAAACCACATGAGGAACTCAGAACCCAAGGGCGGGCACAGAAGATTTCCTCCCCATCTCCCCTGCCCAGTGTACCGCCCCCTCCATTCACCTGCTCCCTGTCCCCACAACTCACAGGCCACACTGGTGGGCAGCGGGAGCGCTGGCTCTGTGTGGTAAGGATGTACCGTGATGGGTGCCATGGAAGGGACGGGGAAAGACACAGCAGTGGCAGCAAGTGAGGGAGGAGTCACCGAGTAAGGATACTGAGCCCCCAGGAATGCAGGATGCACACCCTAGAGGCAGGGGGAAGAAGAGAAGGAAGACACCAAGTTATATTAGGATGTAGCTCTCCTTTGCTCCCCAAGCGGGGAGGCCTGTGTTTCTTATATTAGTTGGGCTGCATTCCCCAGACTCCCACCACTTCGTCAAGACTCCTAGCCCTATTAACTCCCTGAGTACCCCGCTCCAACCCCCCATGAATTCCCAATATTCTCCCCCATGCCCCACCCCCCAGAACACTGGTCTCACCTGTGGGTATGCAGAGCTGGGCACAGGGAAGACGGCAGGCCGGGGCATGTGAGGCATGGGGTGGGCGGGGTGAGCTGGGTGGGTGAGGTACTGAGGGCTGCAGGGCAGGTGGGGCTGTAGAGCGGTGTAGGGGTGCAGGCCAGGGGAGTGACCATGCCCCAGTCCTGGACCCGGATATAAACTGGACCCCACCGAGATGACTGGCACCACTGTGGCCGCTGCTGTCACTGCTGCTGCCGCCACGGTAACTGGCTCAGTCCCTGGGCCCCCTCTGCCCTCGGGCAGCCCCCGCCCAGCCTCCCCAGCTGCCCTGATCCCACTGGCACTACAGCTTGTAGCCCCTTCACGAGCTGTGGATGAGCCACCTGCTGTTTGCTCATATAGCCAGAACCACTGGTGAGCAACCTCAAACAACACTTCGGGGTACACACCCCCACCCTTAGCCGCCTCTTCCACTGCCATGCAGGCCTTCTCCAACATCAGGTTATCCTGGAATGGAGGGGCACAGAGTGTCAGGGGAAAGGCCTTTACCCCAGAGATGGTGTCAGATAACATTCCAGTGTCTCCCTCAGAGTTGGCGGGTTCCCAGGGAGGCATCGGAGGTCAGGGTCAATGCTCTGAGTCAGTGTCAGCAGTGAGGGCTCCACACAGACACTGAACAAATCCTTACTGACAAAAAGACCTGTTCCGAACTAATTTAACAACCCCCTCCTATCCAAGGCTCATTTCTCTGAGGCCTGCCCTAAGTTTTCTATCCTGGGTAATCATCTTGGTCCCTAAACTATAGGCCTCCATTTCCTTATCTGTAAAATAGGAATAATCCTAACCTTACAGTTGTAAGGGAAAGGAAATTACGGATGTAAAAGCACATTAATATGTAAAGTATCACCATGAGAGGACAAACAACAGTTTGTAAACTCTAGGAAATGCGGATTAAGAGCTGGGCCCTCAGCTTTCCCCATGCCCAGCCTCCCTCCCCAGATCCCCTAGACCAGATGCCCAGATTGCCTATAGAAATACCTGCTCCTTGCATTGCACCAAGGCCCGCTGGATCTCATTGGGGTTCAATGCATGGGCATGAGGCAGGCAGCTCAGGGCCAGCTCTGCCGCTGCCCTCACCATATTGGAGTCCCGTGCTCGTGATGCTCTGTCAGCCAGGGATGCAACCTCAGGGGGTGTCAGGTGGCCATCCCAGCATTCTACCAGTATAGTCAGGGCTGCGCTGCCGATCTCCATTGCCTGGCCTTCAGGGAAAGGAGAGAAGAGCAAAGTGGGGTTAGCGTGGGCACCACTGCAGCATGAGAATGATGTCTCTATCAGAACAGTAGTTCTAGAAAGGTTCTTAGCTCTACCAATTAATCCCCCTCCTGTACCCAAATCAGGACCAGGATTTACCTGTAATCCAGGAAACGTGGGAAGAATAGGTACGTGAGAGCCAGTTGGGAGAAACAAAGTTGTGCAGGCCAAGGGCATAAAGCCCAATCTCGAAGGCGCAAAGGTGCAGGTTGCGATGAGGACCCTGGTGGCCCCCTGAGGAAGATGGATGTGTGAAAATGGAAGTGCTGCTGTTGCCCCCTGCCTTGATCAGCACCGTCTTCGCCAGCTCGAAGTAGAAGTGTGCAGCTGCCTCTGACGGCTGATTGGGTACATGGGGGGCATGACTCTCGGGGCGGCGGCCCTTGTACCTGAAGGGGCAATGGGGTAGGGACGGGGGTTGGGGTTTCTTTGAAATGGGTGTCGAGGTAGGTTGGGAAGGACCAGGGTAAGTGAGGATGTTGGGGGACAATGGTTGGATTACACTAGGGATATGGCTCTGAGGGTGGACCAGATCAGGCGAGATGGGTATGTCTTCCCACTGACCTGCCAACTTCAACTGTCTTCGCCCGGGCACCTCCACTGGCACTGGCCCGGCGACTTCCACTCGAGGATGAGGAGCCCAGGGAGTCCGAGGAAGAGCTGCTAATGCTGTCACTGTCTTGTCCTCGACCCCAGGAGGTGGGAGCCCAGCCCCCTCGAAGTGGCCTCCGGCTTAAGGTCGGGGAGCTATCCGACGTTGTTTCAGGGGCACTGCTGTCTATGCTGGCCATGCCTAAACTCCCAAGACAGGTCAGTCTCAGAAGTCAGACTTCAGCCTTCAGGAGTATCCTTCCCTCCATGCCATCCCACAGGCTGCCCTACCTGTGTGCTTCTTCTTAGGCCGCCCTGGGGAGCCCCATCCTCGCCCATTGTATCCTCCACGACTGCCAAGTGCCAGGCGGCTGGGAACCTTCCCCTCCGGCCTTGGGGTCAAAGCAGCCTCAGATGGGAGACCCTCACAGGGGGAATGTGGGGAACTCTCTAGGTGGGGAAGATAGGACACTGGGATGAGCCCACGAAAGGGGACCCCAACATGACTCCATACCATTCATCCCCCCTACCCAGTGCCCCCACCTCACCAGGCACATTCTTCTCTGCGAAGCCCTCAGTGGGGCCTGGCCCAGCCCCTGCCACACTCCCTGGCTGGGCAGGCCCTGCAGAGCCTGAGGTCAGTGGCTGCAGTGCCCCTGGGGCAGATGGGCCCCCGTGCTTTGAAGGAGACCTCTGACTGGCGGTGGCTGGACGGCTAGATGAGTAGAAAGAACTCAGTGTCTGTGGCTTATGCGTCTGGCTTTCTCGGTCCAATAGTTTGTCTAAGATCTGGAAGACAGAAAAGCAGTGACCCCCAGAGAACCGGTGATAGGTTGCCCTTTATCTCCTGACTTCTGTTACCTTCCTTTCTCCTTGAAACAGCCAACTGCTACCTGCTCAGGAAGGTTTCCCCACTTACAACTACAGGATAACCTCCTGTTTTACACATCCTGGTATCCTCTATACCACC